AACGGGCTTTGGCGTTATCACGGTCCAGGACATTTCAGTTGGGACGAAGTGAACAATAGAACAAATGACGCTGCTGAAGACGTGTCACCTGAAAAAGCCAACGTTGAAGAAGAAACTCTACTCAGTTTTGAGAAGGGAAACGGTGAAGCTCTTGATGAAGTTACTACCACTGATGTGACTGTTATCGACGATAGAACATTTCCTGATGAAGCAGATGAACCTCATGTGAAGCAGAAGACAATGAGACGGAAACCAGTACGGAAGAAGATACGTCCCATAAAATTAAGAGACTTTGTTGAATTTTAATTTTGTGTTTGTAATTTCTGTACATTTTATCAAGTTATTGTTAATTATCTATTAGTTTAATGTAAGTGGCTATTGTTCGGGACGAACAATACTAAGGAAGGAGCAGTGTTACGAAAGTGGAATTCACATGACGCTGGTAACACGTAATGAGTATCTAGAAGGTTTGGGGAACATCACGAATAATCCAGTATTTGCTAGACGCCCTCTATTCCTGTATATAAGCGCACCAGATAAAGTGATACAAGTTAATATAACCGGGCACTGGTAACGAATTGGTCGTTACCAGTGAAAGTGAGTTTTCTCAAGGTACTCCTGTTTCCACCCCCATTAAATTCTCGGCATATGATTTTTAGATCCCCGTCGCCTTGACAGACCACCTGTCCGACATCGGACGTTTAGTTTAGATTAGTTTACTTTGCTCTTCACTTTTTTTTTATTTTACCACTACTCTCACGTTTACCATCTTACATTTACATACCTTGTATGCATTAATTTCCTGTATTCTCAAGTTAAGCTCATATTCCGAGACCACGCGCGAGGTGAAGGAGGATTGTTTAATCTTCGAACACCCTTGATTAGTAATTATTTCTTATGAGATAATTATTTTCAAATCAGAATAACTGTCAAAAACAACAACAACGAGACAAGTTATTCGGAACTTGAATTGCAGACAGGCAGACATAAAGACGGACAATTGAGTCAAGTGCGGTAGTGACCTTATGTAAAGTGCGTGAATCGTTGTGAATTATAGCGTGTGTTTAAGTTAAAGTGACTGTGGAAATTAAGTGTATTGTAAAGTTGTATTGAGAAAGAATAAACTAGTTTTATTTAAGAAAGGACTTGTATCGCTGAAGTTCTTCGTAAAGAATTTCTACGGAAAATTAACAAACGAACGAACTGAGACGTAACAATATCATAATATTTTGGGACAACCTACTGGTTCATCTCAGCTGTTCCATCATCTAAACTAAATTAAAATAATTGAAAAACTTTAAAACTAGTCCTTATCATTCATATACTTTTCAAGCTTTTCCTTAAACTCACTTAAATTTACTTCCTCTGCAACGTCCGAAAGCAACCCATTCCAAAGGCCAAGCCCCCCAGTGGCACAGCGGCATGTCTGCGGATTTACAACGCTAGAAACAGGGTTTCGATACCCGTGATGGGCAGAGCACAGATAGTGTAGCTTTGTGCTTAATTCAAAGCAAACAAACAAACCAAAGCCAACCACTGGTTACCACTCTGTTAAAAAAATGAAACTGTCTTAGCTGAAGATGACTTCTATCTTGCCAAATTTGTGTCCCCTAGTCCTACTATTCTCACTGTTTATTTAGTGTGAAAAAGGATGATGCATCAACACTATCAATTTAGACAAGTTTACAATAATACTTACACATCAAAGAAAACACACAACTTAGCTGAGCTTAGTAATAATAAAGTATGTCACTAGAATCTTGAAAACGAAAATTACCCGAGTTGTAGGGCACAATATTCAAATCCTTAGTCAAAGTACTATCTTGCTTATTTTGGATGGTTAAAAAAATATTCTGTATTGTTTCCCATAATGCACTTTGGTATACGTGTGCCGGTCAAAAAATTGCAACTTTCACTTTCGGGTAGTGCTGAGAAAAGTTAACGATGGCGTCTACCATGTGTAATATTTGTATACTTCTATTTATGTGTTTATTCGTTCTGCAAGTCTTAGCTGGGTATGATTTGAGTTATTTTTGAATCTGTTAGAAGCAAAATATTAAATAATGTTATGTGTATTTTTCCCGTTAAACTTGAAAATGAAATTTTAAGTTAAATACGACGAAGAGTTTACTTTGTAACTTTAAGTTGTAACACTAACAGTGTAAGTTGTATTGTAAGACTTGTATTGTTCTAATTTATAAATTATAGTATTATATTAAACTTATAAGTTATATAGAGACTAGATAGCCGGCGCTGTTTAAAATAGTTGTATAATTCTTTCAAACAGTAGGGTAAAATGAAATACTTAAAATTTAACATTTTAACTTAAGTAGAATTATATGTTACTATTACTAACTCTTACTGTTGCAATACACATTAATTATTAAATATGCCATGTTACTGAAGAATATTTTTATATATTTCCTACCGGGATAATTTGACATGGAAACATTTTCAAGATTGTAGATAACGTCTAAAGAAACTAAAAAGATAAATACATAAACTTTATTGTTGGCCTATTTGTCATTCTTCACATTCATAGTGCAAAGTTAAACTTGATGCATTTGAAATATAGTGCTTGGCTATCTAAACAATTGACTAGATTATAGATAGCAAGGTACCTAGAATACAGGCTAAAACTATCATTGGCTACAAAGCCACTATATTTATGAATTCAATTTTGCAGTAGTTCCAATTTTATTTAAATGTTTAATATTATTGGTAATGCTAAATAGTAAGAAGGTAAGGACTTAGTTGTAGTGTGTATGGGTGTATTTTTCTTCTATTTCTGCATTGAAACCTTCAAGACTTAGAAAATTGAACAAATTTTGTTATTTAAGTTCTAACACTCAGTGTTACTTTAAAGTTCAGTACTAGCATTCACTTAAAAAAAAAAGAACCAGTCCAAATCACTTAAATATTCATTGAGCTTTTCCTTGAACTTCCATAAATGTACTTCTAAGTTTGAAGGCAATTTATTCTATAGGCTAGAGTAATAAAACTTTATAATCTGAAGATAATGCCTAACCTGCCAAAATTTGTATGTGTCCCCTTGTCTTACATTCTCGCTTTTAAATATGAAAAAGGGCTATGCATTAATGTTATAAATTCCTTTAATAATCTTGGACACTTCAATGAGATCCTGTTTAAATCATCTTTTTTTCAAAGAAAACAATTTCAGAGATCTTAACCTGTCCTCATATGGCAACCTTTCCATCTCAAAAGTAATCTTAGTAACTCTCCTCTGAACACTTCATTGTTGTTCTTAGTATAAGAAGTCAAAGACTAGGCACAGTACTCTAAGTGTGGTCTAACCAGTGACCTATACAGTGAAATTGTAACTTTAGACTTGTATTCAATATTTCTATAGATACATCTTAAAAATCCTGTTTGCTGTGCCACTAGCAACAGCACGTTGCTTGGATAAACCAGAACACCAAGATACTTTTCTTTCACACCGCTATTGTGATCACTCCATCAAAATTATACTTATAATTTAAATTCTAACCCACATACATTACCTTGCATTTATTATAACTAAAAACCATTTTCCAGTTATTTGTCCAACTCAGCAAATGATATAAATCTTTTTTTAAAGCAGTAGCATCCTCCTCTCTACCTGCAACACCCAAAACCTTAATGTCAGCAAATTCGAGCAATTTGATGACCATTCCTTTATGTTATTGATGTATTTATAAAAGAGCAAAGGTCTGAACACTGAGCCATGAGATATCTCACTTGTGACATTAATCCCTTTTGACTGAATTCTTCATAACCATCCCTATAATCAATTTTCTGTCCAACAATTCAGTTTATCCCCACACCATAGAGATGACTTTTTAAAGCCTTTTATGTAGCATCTCTGATTATGCTTTCTGAAAATTCAGGTACACAGAATCCACAACTTTACCCTCATCTACATAAGCAGTAGCTTCTTCAAAGAATGTCCAAAGATAAGTAAGACAAGATTTTCCTCCAGTGAAGCTATTTTCACTATCCAACAAAATTTGTTAAGTGGCTTTGCAGAGCATCTTTTAAGTTTATTACACTTTCAAAAACTTCCCACCATTGATGTAAGTCTGATAGGCCTATAATGACCTGGTCAATTTTAATCATCTAACTAACAGTTAGTCCATCACAAGTTCTAACCATTATGATGTAGGCCTATAGCAAGTATTATGTATTACTTCTGACAGTACATCTCATGGTCTTGTGAATTTTTTAACCCTTTATATACGTGTCACAGGTGAAAGGCCATGTTATCTCCTTTGTTGACTCGCATTCAAAATTTTATTGAACTACTATTTCATAAATTTATGTCAGTAAGTTTGGTATCAAACTGTAGATTATAATTCAAATTTTGGAACTATACATTATTCAATTTGTTAATTTAAAAGTAAGTATTAAAAACAGATAAACATCGTTGTATGTTGAATGCAGCACTGGTTCAAATTAGATGTTTATGAAGTCATAATACTAAGTCTATAGTTTCATAAGAATTAGAAACTTAATTTACAGATATTAACAAGGTAGAATATAAAGTAAGAAGTTTTATCTTTTCAATTTGGTAAGATATTGGTCACATAATAAATCAAACATAGTAGTACCCCGCTCACCTCCTTTCATATCTAGAAACGCTTCTTTATAAAGACTTAATTCTGTGTATGACATGAATAACCAATCAAAAGCTTGGAATATCCCCTAGTGTTTTTTAACCCTTTCTAACATACCTAGCATCATTTCTTTCTTTTAAATCCAGATTTCAATGAGGTAGGTTGCATCTTTAGTCTGTTCGAAATTTCATAGTTTTTTTGGAGTA